CTCATTCCTTACTCACGTATCATTCTCTGACATTATGGAATATCCTGTCTCATTCCTTACTTATGTATCATTCTCTGACATCATGGGACATCCTGTCTCATTCCTTACTCATGTATCATTCTCTGACATCATGGGACATTCTGTCTCATTCCTTACTCACGTATCATTCTGTGACATTATGGAATATCCTGTCTCATTCCTTACTCACGTTTCACTCACTGACGTTTTGTTGATGTACATGGCTATGACATTCTTAATACTGAATCATATTTCTGTTACTTGTTTTTATATTATTGGAAATTAGAATATGTTTGGACTTGAGTTGTCTGTAGACATCCATTCGTCACTTTAAGCCATTAACTATTCTAGTCACTACCAGTGTTAGTCTATCTCTGTAATTTCATTAGTTTGGTTGTCCATAGCAACGTGGAAGTCGATCTTCTTGGGCTGTGGGCCTAAAACTCCCATGGGATTAAAGTGTGATCATTTGCAAATGCCTTTATTGTGGGATTGGTAAAAGCAATGCTTTCTTTATGTATACTTTCTGCTTTAGTTCAGTACAGTCTACAATCTATTTCCAGTCTTGCTTCAGTGCAGTTCGAGTCCCAGCGGAAAAAAAAAGTCAAGTTTTTATGCAATGTTTTTGTCTGCCGTTTTAAGTACAGCGAAAGGTGAAGTTTTGACTTTACTGTATACGTATATACGGCTATGTGTTCTCGATATCAGTAGAGTGAATTACAATATCACAGGAGTAAAATAATCCATACCAGGAGAACTGGAGTTCCGAGTAATATTGTCAGATCAGCTTTAGAATGGAAGGGTAAAAAGATGGTTAGCCACGCACATCTGGCTGGACTAGCCTTGTTTGAAACTGGAACTCTTCATTGTCATGATATGGCTATTCTGAACGAACGTGTTTTCACAACGTTCAATTTGTTACATGCGCTGGTACAAGACCCATAACTCGTGCACACGTAAATTAAAACAGTTAGTCTTATACGCAACCAAATTTCAATCTGTTTTAAAGCAGATAGATGATTTTCATGTTTCAAAAAACATTCACTAACTATTTCATATTAACCTATGTTAACTTAACTTTATCTGTGAAAATCTGGATTATTGCATGAATTTCTAGATGAGGTCCTTATACAGCACCGCAGATTGTATGTGTATCAAAATAATATTTTGTTAGTTTTGGATTTTATATGTTCAAAAATATTCTATGCATTCTGCCTGCAAGTCATATTATTTAAAATGTGTCATCAAATCATAATTTATCTGCATAAATCACAATTAACCCGATAAAACACGATAAAAGAGCTGGAATTTTGCTTACATGTGTGTATTATAGTACAAGTTTCAAATCATGACAAGTTCCTAAGTAATGTGTATTATTTCGGTTTTGTAAAACACCATGAAATTACATCTTACAGTTTTTATCTCAAATCATATTAACTTGTGGATTTTTAGTTTACGTAAAAAGACGGAAAATTTCGTTGAGAATTTCATTTCAAAGAGACGCCATTATTAGAAGAGCCTCAGAATGCTTTGCGTTTACGATATGGTTACAAAATACCTTGTAATTCTTTGTTAATATTGACATCAAACAAAGGGTCATTAGTTAGATTAATTAAACTCCCGCTGGCTCAGTGGTAAGCTTGAAGATAAATGATATTCAAATTGGGGGTTTGATCCTGGGCACAGCTTATTGTGCAGCTTTGTGTTTAACAACAAACAAACAATCGATTAATGATTTTATGTAATTTGCTCAACTAGGCTGACTCATGATTTTTGCTTGGTTTACAAAAGTACAAAAAATTCATTGAATCTTTCTTACAAAATATCCTTCCTACTATTTCGAAAGCGCTCGAGTTTGGGTCTCGTTTGAAAACCATTACAACTTTTGTATGTGATCCTGTGTGCTAACTTCTTTATTTGAAATTTTCACTGATAGTTTTAAATTGAAACAGACTCCTTTACTAAAAAATCCTTTGCACTGCCTTTTCTTTTCACTGATAGTTTAGTAATATCTCATATAAAATATCTTTAGTATTTTTTCTTGACGCAAATTGAAATAAAATAAAAATTTTCAATATTTGTTTAATAAATGTTTAGTTTATTAGTGGTATGAAAAGTTGTTTAGTAAATATCTATTTGAAGTAGACACTGTAAACTTTTATATGGCACCTTGAAAATATGGTTTCGTTTACTTTTGAAATTCACTGAATCCATTCATAACTTACGCAGTACGAAATATTTGGTATTTTCAACCTTAACAGCAGCTTATGTGACACATGGGTCAAGCGCCTAGGTCAGAAAGTCCAAAGCTCACACATAAACCTTTCTAATTGGGAACTGCTGACTAGCAGAACGTGCGCCTACTCGAGCAACAGGAAGGTCTGTCACAGCTATATCGCCCCTACAGTTGTGTAGCGTCTCTCATCTTGGACTTTATGATCGCAAATCGGTATGTTGTCCACTAGGTCACGCCTGGCCTTCCACTTTACAAAGTTTGTGATGTTCTTGTTGCATTTTAGCGCAAAGCTATACAGTGGGTTATTTGCACTCTGACCAGCACGAGGAATCGAACACCGAATTTTAGCATTGTAAGTCCTTACACGTACCGCTGACCCGCTGGAGGACCAAAGTTTATATTGCAATATTAATTAATGTGATTGTAAGTACACTACTGGGTCCATAGAGTTTCTATACATTAATGTATGTGTATCGATACAGCGGACAAACTATCAGCTTGATATTAACACTTTACAAATAATGTGCGTGTTATCATAATCAGTGCTGAACGATTATCACTTTTACAGTTAGATTCGATATTTGTAAGGAATCCCGATTACAATTATTGATTATTCTAACTAGGTCATTCTTTAGAAGAAGAAAAAACATGGAAGAAAGATAACTGAAAAAATAATACCATAGGAACGTTCGTAAATAATACCATAGGAACGTTCGTAAATAATACCATAGGAACGTTCGTAAATAATACCATAGGAACGTTCGTAAATAGAATGCAATTATTTAATATTTCTTATTTTTCAATACACAGTTCAGCTCAGAATTCCTGTCACACCAAACATGCTCGCCCTTTCAGCCGTGGGAGCGTTATAATGTGACGGCCAATCCCACTATTCGTTGGTAAATGAGTAGCCCAAGAGTTGACGGTGGGTGAGGATGACTAGCTGCCTTCCCTCTAGTCATACACTGCTAAATTAGGGACGGCTAGCGCAGATAGCCCTCGTGTAGCTTTGTGCGAAATTCAAAAACAAACCAAACCAGCTCAAAAAAGAAAGTTTGCAGATGTGGGATCAGGTAATAATATGATCAACAATTCTGTGTGCATCTCTGTGACAGCGAAACCACAAACCGTGATCAGTTTTCATGTACTGATCGAATCGAAACGTCGGTATTAAACAATCATATAAATTTGATGTCGATGTCTATTTTGATAATCAAAATTTCAATTAATCGCTCAACAATTGTCATAATTAAACAGGTTATGAGTGAGTTCATACTTTATTATAATAAAATATTAGCTTAACAAACAATTTTGTTCTTAAATCAAAGTGTAATCATAACAAATAATTATTTAACGAAACTTAGACCAGTGAATTTATGTGCTGCCATAAAATCAAGATTTTCAGAAAATATGCACGTAAATCTATAAATTTTCTCGAAGAGTTTATTTCTTTGTTGTTAAGCGCAAGGCTACACACTGGGCTATATGTGTTGTACCCACCACAGGTATCAAAAGCCGATTGTTAGAGTTATAAGCCTTTAGGTTTATCGCTGAGCGGCTCTAGAGCATCTCGAAAAGTAAAATTGATTTAGAAGTTCCTGTTTTTAAGCATACTCAAAACAAGTACGTAATTCTCTCACAAATGTCTACCATTTAATATAATTTTCTAAAGAAGAAAGTTTCAGATTTGTTTATTTTTTTAGAAACAAACTAGCCTGAAAAACGTAAGTTTATAAAATATGCACACATTTTTTGCAGATAAGTTGAACTTAACCCTTCAACTCGAATCTGTTGGGAACTGACTCGCTAAAATAAAGCTGCATAAATGTAATTGTACATTTTGTAGACTACCCAATACATCTCAGATAACGTCAAATACATCCGCGAGCGCGTGGTTAGAAACTAGGACCACGAGGGAAACGAAGCACGCAGTGCTCTACACGTGTGTGCTTTACGTCTGTCTCACTTCCGCCACTACTGCAGCTATTTATATTCAATTAATTATCAGAGCGAGGGAAATGCCGCAGTTCGGAAACTGTTTAGTGTGACGTGCCTGTCCGCTCTACGTAGACACGAGGGCGGGAGAGTATGCATTCGTTCTTCTTGAAAACGCCCTTTATCTTTATTTATCAACAGACAGAGAGATCCGGTAACGAGGGCACACTTTCTGTTTAAACATCGCTGTAGATTAAGATAACATTTGCAGGTACGCACATAGTCTAAAAAGCAAAACAAAAAATCTAGTCCATAAACAAACAGTTTATCTCATGCACAACAAGCGAGTGTGATATACCACAAACAGTCAGTAATAATCTGTGGTAAATAGTACGTTAATAAAAGTACAGAGTCATTTCGCCTGCTAGTAATGGATCCGTCTTCACTGACCTTGCGTGTTATTCCGATGGAGCAATCTTTTGTATGGTTTATAACGTCAGCAGTTACCAACAGCATACAACAAAAACGTTTAAGAACGATTATTGGATGCAACATTGATTTTATAAGTGTTTGACGATAAAATGGCTAAAGAACAATGGCTGTTGGATGTAACATTGGTGTTATAAGTGTCTGAGACATTTAAGCCCAATTAATCATACCCACAATTACTGTCAGCAGTATACTGAATAAAAAAACTCACCGAATATGAAATACTGTTGAAAAGAGATGAAGGACAGCAAAACTTTTATATCAATATTTTCAGAAAATACCAACATAGCGGAAACAATAATAGTACTAACACAATTTCCAGGTAGAAACAGCATATTCAGTGATTTTAGAATTACTTGGTTGCCTTAAACTTAAGACAACAGCCGCCATATTACTACATTGTGGTGGTCCCGATGTTTGTGACATGTTTAAGTTACTGCCTAACACTAGTGAAGCTGAAGATTATGGCACATCAGTCAAAGGATTAGTAGAGCATAGAGGTGAACGTAGAATATCAAATCAACGTGTTTTGACAATGTAGACAAGGAGAAGAAGAGACAATCGACTTCGCAGCCTAGCAACCACGTGTGCATTTACGATATGGTGAAATAAAAATAAGATAGTTCAAAAGACCTCAGCACCAAGGGTAAGACGTCAAGCTCTGAGAAGAAAATATAAATGACGCTGACAGAATTGCTGGAATTTTCAAGGGCATTGGAAATGTCCCAAGCTCAACCAGCTGTCATCGAATAAGTGTTTAAACGCAGAGTGCAAGTCAGGAGACAAGAAACCAATAACAAAATCAAAAACAGTCACTACTGTGTTCGTCCATTTATTCACCAAGGTGGACTCGATTAGTTCAAACATTTGGCTTGTTTTAACGTATCTCATAGTTCTGCTACAAGTAAAAGAAGAAAAAAAAACCGAGAAAATTCCACAATTCAGGACAGCAGCAACAATGTAAAGAATGTGAACACTGTAGAACCGCCTGTTTACACCACCGCTATCCGTGAATGGCAGTTCATCCTCCAGCAAGTATTTACTTCTTCAGTGAGGGAAATACAACGGCCACGAGAAACGCCCCTACACCAATATCAGACTTAAACTTCAACAAAGTAAAAGTCATGGTGGACTCTGGAACAATTGTTAATATCTTAAACAGACATATGTATACATCCAAATGTCAAACAGAGCCCCTCTGAGAATGGAGCAGTTTAGGATTTATACATACAAAACTAAAGAATCCTCTGACACTAAGAGAATTAACGAGTCAGAACGAAAAACTACTTGTGTGAAATTCTATGTGACTCCATAAACGAACGAATTTTTGCTTAATTTTATAAATAGGTGCCACATACAAAAACTGTTAACACAATAAATGTATCACTTGTCAACAAGGAACATAATACTGTTATGTATTAGAATTTCAAATGCTCTGAAACCGAGCTAAATGATACTTTAAATTTAGTAGTTAAATTATACTTTGGATTTAGCAGTTAAGTAAAAGCCGATATATAGTCAGTTTATGATATTTACCAACAAGATTGATACACACGGTTTGCTTTTTTAACATAAATACGTTTTAATATACACACAACAATACAATTTACAGTAACAGTTATTACAAATAGTCATTACAAACAATAATTTATAAACAGAAATTTTACAAACTTACAAGCAATATAAAGTCTTCTTTCTAGTCTGGAACTTCCTTAATATCTTATCGAGGGCTTACGATAGAGCGAGTTAATTACGAGTTGATGTAGGTATGATTCGCTTAACGGGAAGCTAGCTAGCTTTGTCCTTCGTTATTCACCAGCCAGACACGCTGAGTTTTCTACCATTGAAGTTAGGTAATGTTTTCGTAAAAGTACTAATGTCGGATGAGAATCCACTGAAGTTAAATGATTTGTAATGTTCGAACTTTGTAAATGTTCCTGGTCAAATATCTGAAGTTTTCCGATTGATGAGCGTTATAACAATCACAGTTATGGCTTCCGAAGATTATAGCACACTGACTATAGCAAATTAATAATAGATACTCTCTTTTGGCACGTCGCGTTGGTTATGTTAATAGGCGTGTGGAGGATTTCTCGAATTTTCAGCTTTACGTAACAATACTGGCGCTGACACTAGCGTTTACGTACACACACATATTGTTGATTCTTACTCTCGATAATCTCTTCAACTTTGGAGAATAGGAGGGAGTTTTGCAATACATATTTAACACTATAAGCTATGTATGTTTTTAAAAATAAATTTAATCTAAGCAAACATCGATATTGAAATGAATATATAATAACACACCCGTCACAATGCAAAAATATAAACACTTTTTATAACTATATATAAGGCGGCAGAGATAAACTGCATACTTATAAAATTATAAAAGTTATGGCACAGCCGTATTGGTTAATTTCTTTGCACATGAGACGTAAGATGGAGGAAGAACTTCATAAACTTTTGAAAACTGATATTATCAGAACGTAGTTGAACCTATACCAGGGATATCTCTAATCAAAGTATTGGGCGTTTACCATGTATATCCCCAATCAAAGTAGTTGGACTTAAACCAGGGATAGCTCCAATCAAAGTAGTTGGACTTAAACCAGGGATAGCTCCAATCAAACTAGTTGGGCCTATACCATGTATATCTCCAATCAAACTAGTTGGGCCTATACCATGCATATCTCCAATCAAACTAGTTGAACCTTTACCATCTATATCTCCAGTCAAAGTAGTTGGACCTATACTAGGGATATCTCCAATCGTTCCAATACCCAAACCTAAAGAAGCCCAAGCAAGTTCGACTTTGTGTAGGTAGATATAAGAATCAGTGACATCTATATGTCACAAAAGTCACATCGCTCCGACGCTAAATGACGTCATTAATAAGCTAAATGAAGCACAAGTGTTCACAAAGTTAAATTTGAACAAGGGGTATTACCAATTCAAAGTAAGGGAAAATTCTCGTTATATAACAAGTTGCTCAACACGTACAGGTTTATACAGATATAAACATCTGAGTTTTGGCTCTCCTCTATAGCAAAAGTGACTATTAAACAAACACTTCGAGGTATCTCACGTATTCCAAAGACTAACGGAAAACAACCTTAACCTCCAAAAAGCTAAAACTGAATTCAACTATAAGTCACTTGTCAAATTAACATAGCGATCTCTTGTCCTGCCTGCAAACAAGTCAAATTTTCTTACTTTTGGTCATTGAATATATATACGAATAAGTTAAGGATATGTTACTGTGAATTAATCCATACATTGTGATGTTAAATCGAAATACATCCATTAATGTTCTGTATATGGGTCATGAAGCAATACGTTGGTGGAGAAAATATTTTCTTTGTTAAGACGTACTTATTATATGCCCCCCCCCCCCCACTGACACAGCGGCAGGTCTGCAGACTCACGACGATTGAAACCGGGTTTCGAAACCCGTGGTGGGCAGAGCACAGATAGCCCATTGTGTAGCTTTGTGCTTAACTTTACACAGATAAACTTATTATATGTGTTCATTAGACCTACATCTAAACTTAAATACATACATTTTTTGCTTATGACACACTAGGCCTAAATATTATTTCTGCTTAAAGCGTTATGCAGAAATTATTTTTAATTACTTTGTATGTAATTAATCATATCAGTTGAGATTATACAGGTTTTTTTATAAGTGATATTCTGTGGAGCGGTTAGTACGGGCTGCAAATTTACAAAATTAAATAGAAGAGCGACAGCACTGAGGAATAAACTAATATTACGGTATTTCAAAATTAAATAGAAGAGCGACAGCACTGAGGAATAAACTAATATTACGGTATTTCAAAATTAAATAGAAGAGCGACAGTACTGAGGAATAAACTAATATTACGGTATTTCAAGTTTGTTTGTTTCTTTCTTGCTTTGCTTCATTGCCATAGAAACGGTTGACTTGTGCTCGTATGGTACCAACAGCCAACTTTTATTTTTTTGTAGCATTGCCCTCAGCAATTCTTTCTTTTTTTTTTCTCCATTACCGTAAGAGCAGACTGTGTAGCAGACTCGTTACAACTAATCATTGTTATAGTGCAGACAGTTTCACGTCTATTATCTTTTAGCTTTGTTGTTACAGAAATAAATTATTATTTTATGAGCTTGCACACTTGATGTTAATCGATGCACGGGTGTCGTTTTTCTTTTGATCTATATAAACTCGACGAAATGCAAATGTCCTTATGGATACGTTACATATAGAAATATAACTCAGAACATGTGAAGATTTCATCAGATCACTATTTATACAATAGAACATAGCACACAACAATGAAAGGTTACAGGGAAATCGAACAGATATTTTAAGAAATAAAGATAATTTCTACAGTTTTTATACATCTGTGTCTAGTGATTAGCAAGTCTAAGTGATTGTCATCTGAAAATAACTATAGTTTGTTATTCATGTTGTTTTTTAAAACCTTTGTAAAACATCAGTGACATATATTGTTTTAATTACACATTTTCGAATATATAGCGTTGTTTCTAATAAAAAAGTAGCCTAAAAGTTAGCAGTGGCTGGTACTGATTAGCTGTCTTCCCTTTTGTATATCGCTTCTAAATTAGGGACGGCTGATAGGAAGTTATTATTATTTAAAAGAGCTCATTCTACGGTGTTATAAATCATCAGCCTTACATGCGTAGAATGATTATAAAGAAAATCCCTATATTTAAAATTATTATAGTGTACGGTGTTTATAATGGAACAAAGCAATATTAGGCTATCTGCTGGTTCCACCGCGGGTAGAATATAGTTTACAGACTAATTCCTTTATAGAACTACATTTGAATGAGACACACTCAGAATCATGAGTTTCATTGAAAACAAAGTTTGGTAAAGCGAGTTTCAAAAACTCTCACAGGAGGTGTTCGATATGCTTTCTATCATTGTCAATCAGCAAGTCAAGCTTATCCCTAAACGAAGGTACTCCAAGCGCAAACTATTATGGACAGAGTTCATTGATCTTCACGATATCATGCATACTGACAATATACTTCTTTCAAGTCACCAGTCTCGCACTGGTAAAAGTGAGAGACATAAAAGCAATGCTAGTTTGTGAGAAAAACAATTTAACTTCGTATTTTTCGGTGTATAAGACGCACTTTTTTACCACAAAATTTGATGTCAAAATCTGCTTGCGTTCTATACACCGAAGGTATGAATAATATATATATGTATATATACGATATACACAAGCCATATG